GCGCACCCTCCCCGGCCCCTCTACTTCCCCACAGCAGGATGGGTGCAGCAGCGTTCCCCTCCGGTGCTCAGACGGGTGTGAAGCCACAGGGAAGGTCCCTGGACACTGGGAGCCAGAGCAGCGCTGGTGGTCCCAGAGGACAGTGGGAGCGGGGACCCCATCTTCTCTGCCCGCCGCCTCGTGCCTGCCCAGCAGCACCTGCCCAGACGGCCAAGAGCAGGTTGCAGGACCCCAGGGCTTGAGAGAGGCTTTCGCCATTGCAAACCTCCTGAGATTAATTTGCCTTGGATCTCCTGCTCTTACACTGGCGTAAGCCAGACAAATTTGCCTCTGTGGGCACAGCTGCTCGGAGCATGACTGGCACGGGAAAGCCATAAGGATGTCTCTGCGCCTTGGTTCTTCACAGTGGTTGAAAACCTGAGCATAGTTATGGCAGGGCTACGGTCTATTTGCCTGTGGTCTCCTGCATGCTGTGTACCCCGTTGCACAGGTGCCAGGCTGGCTACTATGGAGACCCCGTCCTGGGATCAGGCGACCACTGCCGCCCCTGCCCGTGCCCTGACGGCCCCGAGAGCGGACGCCAGTTTGCCAGCGGCTGTTACCAGGATCCAGTCACTCTGCAAGTCGTGTGTGTCTGTAGCGTGGGATACATAGGTACTTGGCGGGTGTGTGGAGGAGGGATGGTTGGGTTGAACCTCCTGGTGAGAAGGGGTATGTTCATATGGGTTGTTGGATGTGACCACAGCACCAGCATCAATGTGTTGCTGCTGGAGGCTGGCAGCACTTGGAAGGTGCCAGGGCAGAGCAGCTCATGCTGGCAGTGTCGGCACCACTGTGAACCTCATCCCCAGCAGCGTGGCGAGGGATGACCAGTGGTTGGCAGAGGTGAACAGAGCAGCAGTGGAACCAAGGGGACAAGCGTGCTGGCAGCTGGGCTGCAGCACCATGCCTTGGTGCCCCAGGCTGTACCATCGATGCTGCACTAGGCTGCCACAGTCTCACCAAGCGCTGCCTCTCAGGCTTTGAGCATGATCCAATTAACACTTCCCCCATTAATGGCTTTTATTGTCTTGCCTCAGTCTTGCCGTTTACGGGTCTGCGTGCCAGCGAGCCGTAATGGTAATTCCCACCCTGCCTGTTTCGATGTGATGAATGTGCGTCTGGCTTCTTTGGGAGCCCCGACGAGGTTGGCGGCGCCTGCCAGCCATGCCAGTGCAACAACAACATCGACACCGCTGATCCGGAGGCCTGCGACAAGAGGACGGGAACGTGCATGAAGTGCCTGTATCACACGGAGGGCGAAAACTGCCACCTCTGCAAACAGGGCTACTACGGGAGCGCCCTGCAGCAGGACTGCAGAAGTGAGTGGGGAGGCAGGGCCACAACCCCTCCGCCGGCCATGTCACGGGGCGGCAGCGGCTGCCTGAACTCTCACCTGGGAGCATTTGGGGTGGAGGGGAAACCTCATTGCCTCCAGCTGGAGTGCAGCTGCCCTGCAGCTCCGCGGGGCCCCTGGCCGGGAGGGGAGTGGAGTCCTTTGCATTGGACAGGGAGCACAGGGACAGCATTTACATGTGCTGAAAGGACACGGCTTTTGTGGGAGGGGGGATTTCTTGCCCTCTTGTTAGTGGTCTTTGTTTACCTCTTCTCCAGAGATGGGGGTGTCAGGGTAAGGGTTTGGCTTTTGTTTATACCAGCGTCCCTGTAGATGTGGCTGGACAGTGGGAGCGAGAGT